CTAACGTATCCCAACTCTCCGCCTTCACCACCCACATGTCCTGCTCATCTCTCTCCTCATTCAATTGTATTTGCTTAATCCACAAGCCATCCAAATATCTGTAGCAATCTTTCACCCATTGCCCAATCTTCCGAATGTCATTACAAAGCTTTTCCCTCCACCTTAATTGGGTTTTATGAAAAATCGGCCGACGTTTTCCAAGTTGCCCAGTTAAATTGGACTTGGGCACTATTCGAGCCCGAGTAGTCCAATTTGACAGGCCACTCTTTGGGACATCACAATGTACTAATCAGTCGATTTACTATACATACTGGTTAATTTAGATACTAACTAGCACAACTCAATCGATTTGCAAGACTAATATGTGATTTGTTAAAAGAAATGGGGTGATTTCTGCCTTGTTATGGAAAAAACATGTTAAAAGTTTTGTGCAGGTTCAATAATAGACTTTGCAGGGCTCCACATGTTTTTTTTAAGTGCATGGGGCTCACCGAAGGTACCAATACTAGATCAAGAGTTCCTATAAGAATATGTGGTGGATATGAATAAGAACGGTGGCATTCCAGCAACCAATGAGGGGAACATGGTGGAAGCCATGGAAGACATGGATGAAGACGATGACAACTTCGATAAAGGCAATGAAGATGACGACAATGATGTGATGGGGTAATGTGAGATGATTGGCATGTTGCATAGTGCGAGATGCTGCAAGATACTACGATATCCACTAGGGAAGAAGAGGGCTTAGATTGGTTCAGGAACAAGTCAAGAGAGTCAGGCATAGCAACTACACCCTTGGATATAGACGCATAGGTGGAGGGACCCATGGGCTAATTATTTAGGACAATGAAAATGCTGATGAAGGGCAAAACACAGGCCAAGGAGGTGAGGAGCATAGATAGTTTCAAAGTCTAGGTGACTATGACCTAGGGGCTTCACAAGGCAGTATTCCTATTTGGAAATGAGGAATTGTTGCTGCCGCACAAACTCCACCAGGCTTCACGACGATTTTTGTCCCAGTCAACTCTGATAGCGAAACTCAATAAAATCCTGAACCCTATTGTTTATCTTACTACTTTTGACTAGTGTTTTTTACTATTGTATAATATGTAATTTCATTCAGTTACTAGTTCACTGAAAAAGTATTGCTTCAGGTGCTTAAAATTTTTGTTCGGAAGCCAATTATGCCTATAATATTTTTTGTTTCGCTTATTTTATGTGACAATACAGAAAAACAATACATATATAATTTAAATATTTTTTTTATAATTTTTTTCTTATAATTTTTTGAGAATTTTTTACCATCATTTTCTTTACTGTATAAAACTTAGCACTAAACGACCGACTAAGTCGGAGCCAGCCCGACCAATTGGCTCGGACCATGACCAACTAGTCAGCCCGACTTGATCTTTTTAACACTGGGGTTTACCTCTCTCTAGTTCATAATATATAAATGGAATGGCAATTGAGGGGTATGTAGAGGAAGAAGGGGTGGCGATTATCGAGCAGAGATGGAGCTGGGTAGAGAGAGAAATACATGAATTTGAGGTTTCTCACTCGAAGAAAGAAAACCAGCGATGACCTCTTGTTCTGATCCAAAGGGTTTTTCTATCAATTAAAATGTTTTACTTTTTAATTTTTACCGATCAATTTATCATTCACATCCATTTCTAAATATCACCTATAGGCGTGAACATTAGATTAACCCCGTATATAATAGGAAGTCTTGTGTATATATGATAGGATTGCCTACAACAATACCATTTACTTTTTGTATATGGAGGTCACAATCAATCTCACTCATTGGATGTCGAATTGGATAACTTAGGGTGATCGTGAAGTTCGAGATTTGTTTTTTGGAACTTTGTATCTATTCAATGACACTCTTACAACCACCTATTTTGAAATTTTAGGGACAATGATGTTTGTGACCTCTACGTACAAAAGATAAAAGGTCGCTTTTTAGGAAATCCCACATACGATATATAATACATCCATTATTATCACAAAAAATTAGCTCAAACTCAACCCGATCCAATGGTTGGGCCTCAACAACATAATTTTTACCAAGCTCAGGGCTCAAGTTTTGGTTCACATTCTGCCTTGCATTGAGCCACAAGAAAATCAAGCCATGGTTGGTCCGCCCAATGCCTAGCCCGGTGGAGCTCCAAAAGACTCGTTGTCCTCCTCCAGTAGAATGATAACACCCACATAAGAAATGAATATTTTAACGATTTACATATGATGGCCAAACTGACACTTGTGCTTCAAGTTGTAAGCCCAATTCTGTTTTTGGAGAGACCCCTATCCGTGGATATGGAAGGTGTCATCCACTATGGTTGAATAAAAATGAATTGTGCCTAAGTTTGATTTTAATATGAGTTGATAAACCGGCAAGGAGGAGAAGACCAGAGAAGAAACTAAAAAACTTTATACTGAATTGGGGGAAGAGACCCCTCAAGGTCTCCAACTGGTTCGAAGCTCACTTGTATGGATTTCGGCAAGCAAAGACGTCGACAAAAAAGAAAATATAGTCTTTTTTCTGCGTCATTCATTCTATCTGGTTCTGTTATGTTGAAATTTGGAGAATTGGATTGGGCTTTCAATACCTTAATCACATTCATGCTGATTAGGAACCCTGTGGATCTCATCTATGAGAAGAGGAAAAGCTCAAGTAGAATAGCAGAAGTAATGAAAAGTTCTAAAAAGGAAAAAAAGTCGTGGAGCATAAAAAAAAAGACTCCTTATTGCTTAGATTCGAGCTTAGGCCCACTCAAAATGAAAAATATGAGGTTGGGCTTGATGGATTATGGTGCTGACCGTTGCAACACATTCGAAGTTTGAATCCTCTATTGCAATCCACTTAAAACAATGAAACGAAAAAGGGGATGAGGTAGTGGTGGAAGCACTCTCCATAACTTAGTTGCACGTTATGGTTTTCATTCCCACTAACAGCTTCAAAAACCACTAACTAATTAAAAACCGGGTAGGGCATTGTTACGCTCATTGAATTACCCAAAAGTAAAAAAAAAAAAGATGAAACTTAAATAATATAGACAACTATGATGTGCCAAACCCATGCACAAAATCTCTTCACCTTTATGTTTTTTGAATGTTAACTTGAGACCTAGTGGAGTAGAACCCATTTTCAAAATTCTCCTCAATATTTCAATACTTCGAATAGTTTTTCTATCTAATAGATACCAGCACAAAATATGTCTTCATTTTTTTAAGGAAAAACAAGGAGTGCATTTGTTTTATTTTTTTCAAACATGTGGAAGACCCGATTTTACTTATTTGATTTTGGAATCAACTACTGAAGTTTGGTGATTTATATAAAGGAAAAAGTTTATATAAGGTTGCAACCTTAAAATGTATAACTACGGATGCACCTCAAAAATTCATTGGAAAAAGTTATTTTAATGTCGAAAAACCTGCGATTAATCATCTCGACATCGAGATGTATGACTATGACAAATAAAAAGATTTTGAGTCTTAGAAATAGTGCATCTTAGAACATATTATCTACACCGTCTATTTTCAAGATTTTCATATGTTTATAGATCTACTCAATTTTAACCATTTTAGATTTTAAAATTCTATAATTAGATATAAAAATAAATTTTTAGATAATCCTAAAAACATTTTACATCAAAATTATATATTATGATAAAATTTGTAGGCGCACCTTAGTTAGATTGTTTAAGGTTGCAACACCCTTATATAAATAGATGGTAAAGCGTCACACTTGAATGTTGTCAAAGCACCGTAGAAAGGTTCATATGGAACCTGGCATCATCCAACAACCAAAATACAATTTCGTTTTTTATTTTTTATTTTATTTAAAAATTATTTCTATCAAAATTTATGGTGTATATGCATTTTGATGAGGTGCACCAAATAAAATAAATAAAAAATTAGAAAAAAATTGACTGGTGTGCTTTAGCCATTTAATCTATTCAAAGGTATTGATCATAGCCATTTAATCTATTCAAAGGTATTACAATCAAATTTGTGTTCAAAATTTATTTTATTGATTTTATTTGGTGCTCTGTATAAAAATGCGTCTATGCCACAAATTTCAGATAGAGATAAAATTTAAATAAAAAATAAAAATTTATATAAAATTATTTTTTATGGCCATCGGATGCGGCCTTGTTTGGAACTTTGAAGGTTACTTCCACATGGACAGTTGATTTTTCCCTTATATAAAATGTAAGTTTATATAAGAAGTTAACCTCATTCTATATAGATGACGTGTACCTAAAAGATTTATCAGAAAATATTGTTTTGACGCTCGAAGATGCACTAATAGATTTTTTCAACTTTGAAAGGTTGGATACAAGAAAAAGGATTTTGAGTCTTAAAAATAGTGTATTTTGGAATACATTATCTTGACCATTTATTATTAAGGTTTTTAAGTATTTATAGATGGGCTCGTTCTACATTTTTTTTTGGAGCTATATTCTAAAACTAAAGGTAAAATTAGATTTGAGGCCATTGCATAATAAATTTTGGACATTGAAACTTCATTTTTAGACAAGGTTTTGGGGGTGTCTTTTACTTTGATTGTTTCAAATCGACACCTATACAAACCTCACCTCCATAAAAAAAACAAATTATCCTAAAATGCCAATTTATCTACCAAGAAAAAGATAAAACGGGGTTTGTAGATTAATACAAATGACACATGATAGTTTACAAACAAAAGCATGCGCCAAGCATTGGAAAACCTTTACAAACATTATGGTTGTGAAATTTTTTTTAGGATTTTAAATTTTAAAAATAATGTATATTATAACAAATTAACTAAATTGTCTATTTTGCTTTAAAAATAAGTGTGTATAGATTAGCAAGATCTTTACTATTTTTTGAATTAAAACATTTATTGTCTACGTTGAAAATTAATTTTAAAGCCATAATATAAATTTTTATTGTCGAAAATACTTTCCGGATGAGGATTTGAGGTGAGGCTTTGTTTTGTTTTCGGCCTCAGCCAATGTCTTGAATACCCCGCCATTTTATTTGAGAGAAAAAGAGGTCAATTTCATAATGGCGACCTTGGGAGCAGGGGGCACTTTGTCCCTTCTCTTTTCGGATCGTAGCCCTAAACTTAACCCTAAATCGATCTCCTGTAAGTGTACTCTCTCCATGAAAGGTTCTCAGAATTTTCCAATGGACGTTGTATGGGAAAGCCCTGAGAATCCTCCTAAGCCTGAAGATTACATTTTTCGCGATGGTATCTCTCTCTCCTATTAGTGTCGCATAGTATTCTCTCTCCATCTGCCATTTTATCATTTTTCAAGAAATCTCATTTTCTCTTTCGTTGTTTGATTTTCTGAAATCTCTCTGTCTCACTCTCACTCTGCGCACTTATCTTTCTGCTAACACAGGGATGCGACTTGTTAAGCCCTACTATTTTGAGTTCATTTCACATGTAAGTTCAAATTGCGCAACTTTCTCTCTCTACCTCTCTCTCTCTCTCTCCTCCCCTCTTCCCCTAAATTCCTGTGAAAACCATCAATTGTTACTCTGATATGAGAATCATGCTGAAAACATCATTCCGGATTTAAATATGCCCACTGGAAGTAAATTTGTTGGATAAGGTGTCGCTTTTAAATCTTCATCTCTATTATTGAGTTTGGTGCAATGCTCATAGGAATGATGCATCTTTAGTTCAGTTGCCGTATTCATAATGTGCAGTGAGCATTTGCTCTGAGCATTATAATATAAATTTTATTACTTAAAGTGATGGAGCTGAACTGTCGGTTGAAATGTGATTCTGTAGTCTGTACTCTGTAGTATAACTTTTTTAGTTGTTCAAAATTTGATGCTAATTTTAACCTCCACAGAATTGAACGCCTCCAGTCATATTAAACTACTATCGATTCAAATTTCTAGGTCACCTTGTCAATAATAAGAGTATGAGTAATTCATTCCATTTTTCTATTTAATCTTGGAAATTAGACCTATCTTGGAAAATTTTGAGTTCCAGTGAGCCGATAATTACGTCCTATTCCTTCCCATAGAGTGTGACATGTCTCATCATGATCAGTATAAATGCCAATGGCTTGTTGTTTCATTCTATACGCTTTTGCATGTGCAGATGTTACCCTCTAGGATTAGTGGGATTCACACTTCATTTGTCATTTTTTGGGAAACAGTTGGGTTTAAATCATTCTCATGTGTAGATTCTTTTGGGATTGAAGCCTCTGAATACTGATACATCTGCATTAAACCGTATTCAAACTAGAAATCTAAATTTGTCGTGCACCTTACCATTTTGAAATAAATGACCAATAGGATGAATGATTAGATTATGTCTGAAATGCTTGCAACATATGGTTCTTAAATGTTCAAAGATGGTAATCAATCCAAAAAATACCAATTGGTTAATTATGACTTCTTCTAGGACTCTTCCATCTAATAAGTAATAATGGGCCATCTATAAAATTAGAAGTGTTCACGACCAAATAAAAATACCGTATTGTTTGTTTTTCTCCTTTTTTGTAGCCAAACCATGTGGATATTTAGCACCTGTCCTCACCTTAAACTTTTCTTCGAATCCAAACTGTGGAACAAAACTATGGGCTGATACTCCCATGGCCATAATACACCTGTCCATATCATACTTGGGAAGTTTGGATATAAATTAACAAGTTCTGAGAGATTTTTTCAGTTAAAAAGACCTTAAGGGCCGAACTCATATAAACCTCATCAATTGTATCATATAGAGGTGATATTTTGCAGATGTCAATAGTTGGCCATTATTTGCCTCTTATCCAAAAAATCATCAAGTTTAGGCACCATTTGATAGGATGCCTTGATCCACCATCGATAAAGATGTGTTAACCGACAGACCCATTCTCGCTATTTGGAAATTGACTTTAAACTGCTGGGAAGTTTATATTTGAGGTCCAACAACCACTCTCCCAAGGTTTTCGTTATATAGAAGGAGGTTCAGTCCCTGTATCGCTCTCTCCAACAGTGAGCACTTATATGCATTGTTCGTTAAGGCACCATAGAGCAGCTAGGATGACCTCCTACCAGTAAAATCGAGACGTCTCTCAATCTTGGAGGAGTTTTCTCATGGGACCAAAGCTGTTAGAATCCTTGACTGAAAGCTCTAAAGAAGCTACCATGTGAAGTGGTTAGAAATGTAACATGGGTCATTTACCGTGTGAGGTTTTTGGTATCAAATGCCAAAGTTTTCATCTTTCAGCGATGTATAACCTTAGAATAGTGGAGTTCAAGGATCTTAGAGGGATACATCATGAGATGGAATTGATTAGGTTTTTGATGTCAAGTGCCAAATTCTCAGTGCATTTCATGTTCAGTTGGCAAAAGAGCACTTCTTTTTGAGGAAATTTTATAGAACTATAACTGTTAAAATGGTTCAGGTTAAGAATTAAGCTATCAAATGAAGTCTCTCTTTTTATGTTTGTAGTTTCCTTTAGTAGCTTGGAGATTCTTTTGGAGCAGTTCTTGCAAGTTTGGTGTTGCAGCCGAAATTCTCATTAAATGCATATCCATTGACTGATTATTTTTTGATGTTACATCTCTTTTCACAGGTTAAGTCTCGATGGGTTGGGAAGACCATTGTGGATCTATTCACGCACGAGTTTAGGCAGCGCCCCCAAGAATATTATGTAATGCCAGTTAATCCATGATGATGAAATATTCTCATAACTTGGTTATACTTCATATACAAACACTCAGTTCTTTTCTTTTCCTTTTATTTGCCTTGCTCAAACTGATAACATTTTCAACTGCACACTTTAATGCATGGGTGATTTAGAGAAACGTGATTGGAATGAAGCAGTTGGTGCATTTCCTTCAATAAAAGCTAGAACTATATAATTTATTATATTACTCGTTTGCTTTGATTTGGTTATGCATTTACCTTGTGTTATTTGTACTCTAGCACTTTGCTGTACATTCATCATTTGCACTGCATTGTCCATTCATTATCTTGTAATATAGCCACGAGGCTGTGTCATACAGTTATTTGGTACACTCTCCCTCACTCCACAGGATAGGACTAAACATTATCCAAAACAAACAAAGAGGATAGAATGGAAACCTTTTGAGTATATTTACACAGTAATAGAGCCAAAGAACTGGGACTGCAATTAATTTATTTCTTGAAGCTCATTTGATCTTGCATAGTTAATTATAGAAAAAAAAACCCTAATTGAGGGCTCCAAGTCTTCTCTCACTAATGGTCATCTGATTTTCTTGTCACATATTTCGTATCATTTTCCCTTCCTGCACGATCATCCCATTTTAAACCCCAAGCTGAGTCCACCGACTATCTAACCACTAACATGGAACTAATCATTCATTTCCTTTTTATGTTCTTGCAAAATTTCTCTACCCTGTGATTTATCCTTATTTACCTTATATTCCAAAACATATTTGAAGTTTTCTTTTGCAATTGCTTCCAAATATGTAATGTAATATTTATGTTGCATTTTCAAAATTTTAAAAGTAATTTTTATTCGGGAATCTCAAATCTTGCTCCCAAATCCAGTTTTTGTAAGTGCCTCGTTGATCAAGTCTATGTCATTCTTCGTCATAAATTATAACAATTGCAATGTTCTTGAATTCTAAATGATATACAAGGATGTTTTATATCCGCATCTTGGGTCCCTTCTGAATACACCAAAGGCAGGTTTTCTAGTCTCGATGCCCAGTTCAGGCTCGTTTCTTTAGAGAGAAATATAAAGAAGGCACGGGTCTGCTTGCGGCGTGTTTCATTAATGAAATTGAATCAAGCGGACACTCTTCATATAAATACCAAGTTCAAGAGCTCCAGCTTTGCGATCAAAGGAAATGAGTTTAGGCGACATGAGAAAAATGGCAATACAGGGAATAATCCTAAGACACAGACCCATAAGAAATTTTGCATCATGTGTATCCCTTTGAGTTTTTTTTACTAAGGAATTAGGGACCATTCCTTCCTCGCCACCAGCCGATCCTGTGGAGAATCTACGCACCCAAGAAAGTGGATTTGATTTTCTACTGCCCGATGACTGCCTGATTCAATTGTTTTGGGACGGCTAACTGAACATATTCCCATACTTCTCGTATCCCTTTTTGCGAAAGGATTCTATTCCCTTCCCTTACTAGCCTGTTCCATATCTCTTCCTGCCTGGACCAGATGTCATACCTGATTCAGTGCCCCATAATGCTCAAGTTTTGAACAAACTGTGCATTTCTGGAAAATTCATCTTAAAAGGCCCCAGTCTTGGCTGCTAGGTAGTGCCTTGTGGCACAAAGGGTCTTGGCACCCTGCCTAGGCCTAGGCAGACTGCAGTGGAAGGGAGCCTGCCAGGTGGGTGCCTGGCACCTACTGCCTTGTCCAAGGCTCCCACTATGGATGCTATGTTTGTGCAAGAGAGAGAGAGAGAGGGAGGGAGGGAGGGAGATTAAGTTGTGTATGTGTGTTTCTTGTGTTGTGTGCATGTGTTTTTTTTTTTGGGAGGGGGGTGGTGGGCTGTGTATGGTAGAAACCTTCGATTTCTTCGGGCTGCCTTGAGCATGGGCCCTCAGCCTATGTGATGCCTTATGCCTTTCAAAATACTTCCATTCTTCTAATTTGAATGAAGCAGTGTGAATAAATATTGCAGCAAGTTTATTATGAGCTTAGTCAATCTATGCAAATGGATAACAATACATCTTACCTGTTTTATGTGGAGGCTGTTCTGCTGGTCTGCACAGTTTGTCAATATTATTATTGACTCTTTTTATGGTTCTTAGCTTCACAGTTTATTTTACCTGTTTGCAAACTTCATTATTGTTAAATGTTTTAAACTCTAGCCCTCATATTTTACAAGGTAGTTATTATGCATTTATTTTAGTTTGCTTTCAGTTTGGGGGTTTTTATCTCAACTTTGTTCCAGGTTACTAATATGGTTTGTAATAGCTTGCTGCCGTAAACGCTGGAAGGATCCAAGTAGATGATCAAATGGTGCATGTATCATATGTTGTGCAATCGTCCCAAAAGATTAGCCACTTTGTACACAGGTTTGTTGCTTCTTTGAAGTTTGTTTGCAAAATTTTATTTGACATATGTGCGTGTGTTTGTGTGTGCCAATTATATTGAGTTCTTAAGAGGGTCATGGAAGGTGACAGCTAGGCCTCTCCAAGTGCACACCATCGCTGACTGTTTTTTACCATAACTCATTGCCACTCTCTTACTGATCTTTTTGTTCATGTCTCTCTACACTGACTGAGTCCCCTCAGTTTTTGTTATAGGGGGACCTACTCACCACCATTTTTTGGTTCTTTGTTCATTCGATATGTAGAGCACCTGACGTGTGGGTTCCCTTATCACGCCCACCTCTCGTGGGCAAGCTTTTGCAATGTCTAACAAATTACTACACACATGCGCTGGCAAATGTATTCCAACTTCACAGAAACGTAAAAGTGGATAATTGAAGAGCACGTTTCCTTTCAATGCAACAACTATTTGTGGGACTGGAGAGTCTTTGAACAAAACCTGAAGCATTCTAATATTTTATCACATGATTTTTGGCTTGGTAATGGTGAACATGTCTTCTTTTAATCTAGCAAGAAAGCCATAAGAAAAATATAATATGATCCATGTGGTGATAATAACAAAAAGCATATGATTTATCGCTTTATAATCAATGGGTCTAACAGTGATGGAGGGAGAGTGGGTACACACAATTCAATTAATGACAATTTTGTTATGGATCACTCCTTTCCATCACTGTCCAATCTAATGATGTGAGGACCATATAGATGATATGTCACAAGTTAGCAACTAGGGTTTGAAAGGAATTTCTTAGATTTTCAAAATATCGTTTTTAATCACTTTACTATGCAAAGGCATTTGTCATCGCAGTTTGATTTCGTTAAGGTGCAAATAATACCTCAGGCATGAACCACCGGTGATGGCTTGGGGAGTTTCTATTCTAGAAAAGGGAACTGATGTTGTAACAGTTTGTAAGCCGGCATCTGTCCCGGTAAGATATTTAAACTCCGGACTTTTGTGATTACCAGTATCGTAATTACTATTGACTCAGTGCATGATTTGAATAAATATTGGCTAGCATATACTTAAAAAGGAGACTTAGTTTTTATAGGAAGCCATGTTCGCTTTTGTATCGTTTGTTGCACTACACAAACATAAGTCTAAAGAATTTTATTTCATGGTTTGGTTCAATTACACATCCTACGTAGTGACTTTCTTGTTGATTTTGGTTATAATACACTTGAAAGCAGTACTAGAAACTGGAGACCAGAGCCTCAACTTGGGAAGAGAATGGTCTGAGTCTAATTTGGTTTACATGCCAGTCCAACTGTTGGAACAGGTTGAATAGTATAATAAGAGGCGACTTACCAAACTTGTGAGTTTTATGGTTCTACTGATTGGTTGAATGCTGGCACAATCTGTTTTTATCCAGCACAGAGGGATTTTGCAGCTACCTTTTTTATTTTTATTTTTTAACAGAACCAGTTTTAGGCCCAATCGTTGGTCCAGCTGTTTGCACCAGTTGGTCCATTGTCTTTGACTCTAATCGATATTTCATGTTGGATCAACTATTTCCAACACTTGGAACCTTGTATGGTAGGATCTGCATTATTGTGTAAGAGCAAGCTAAAAGACTCATTTCCTTCTATATTACATTCATGCATTCCTTAGATATTTATTGGAATCACTTGAATACTGAGGGCTTTGTCTATCAAAGAAGGGCAAAAAAGCGACAAGATCAGTGGGAATTTTTTTCTAGGTTTAGCATAAGCCATTTAATGATGCAGGAAATTCTGGTTTATGGGTCTAGTTCAACAATTAAATTTTTTACTTAAACATAACTTTAAGGAGTTAAAAGTTACAATGTTAATGGTGCGGCCTCAGGAGTGGTGCAGCTGCACCCCGATGGCCTCGAGGCTTAAATGCATCCACGCCGAGAGCCTGAGGCCGCCTTGTTGCAGCTGCAGCCGCACTTAGGGGTTGAATTGGGGCCAAACTACTTGCATGAATCCACACAAGGTCGTTACTTTGTATTCAAAGGTCAAATTCTTTCATATAATTTATGATTTTGGGTTAGCTTGAACTGTAGAATGCAACCGGCGGGGTCTTGCTTGCTGATTGCTCTCCCAAGACCCCAAGTTTGGCCATGAAATGTTTTGTATGCCAATGCGGTGTCCTTCTTTTGTGGCTTAATGGTCAGATTTGCATCATGGATGCAAACACTCACTTCATGACAAGGATTAGGAAGTCTAGCTTCCAAACCATGACTAAATGATGACTACTAAGCACTGGCCATTAAGGTTGTGTGAGATTTTTGATTTGGGTTGTTTTGTAGGTTGGAGTTGTGGACTGTCTTGAGCCTTGAAGACTCAAGAGAGTATGGGGTACAGTGATATGAAAATGTGAATTAGCAACCAGCTGTGCTCCTTCTTCTTGTCATGGACTAAAACCGTTTTGGCATCAAAATATGTGATTGCCGAGCTCCTTATAGGGGAGAGGCAATGGTACGAATTACAATGTGGAATTGTAAAAATCTAATATCCGCTTGATAGTAGGGATTATTGGAGAACCTGCCTGTTAGCATGAATGCCTCTGAGGAAGGGGACATGGGCCCGACACTTGATTGTGTGTGTTGGGTGATGTTGCCATGTTTTACTACATTATAGACATTTGTCTAAAAAGTGTCATATAATAATTTGTATTTTAATGTCATAAAGTATTTAAAGCTCTATGCGGTAGAGCGGATTTTATTCTTTCATAGGTCTGTGGTTTGAATCCTGTGGCTTGCAAGGTTTTTTAGTAATAAAAAATATAAAAATGCTCATTGTGGGAATTGAACCTTTTCCATCTTTATCCATAGCGTCACATCCACCATCATATTCTCACCCTTTCTATGCAATGAAAGGGAAAACTGAATGACAATATCATTTTATTGATTGTGTAAACATGCTCACAAGAGGATTTGAACTCGTATCGCTTTAAGACAGCCTCACTAACATAAGGTCTGCCACCTCGAAATCCTTGTACTTGGTGTTATGGATGGGAAAAGTGTTATAAAAGAATGCAATATTTTATTTATAAGAAGAAAAGACATGCCTAGAAGTATTGGCTTTTTAGGCAAATGTACTAGTCACCAGCAACACTCATAGGCACTGAGGCTTGTGTATGTATCTATGTAATATCACTTATTTGACATGGCTTAGGAAGGATCATTGTATAGGCATCACAATACTGAGTGGCACTCATGATGACCTATTGGGCAGTTTGAAAGCTATCCGAGGGCCCAGGAAATGAAGCATCCCTTGCAGCTCCAATTTGCTAGCACCTCAGCCACAAGTTGAAACACACTAATGTTGGCATTTTAGATATAGTAAATGTTGTCAAATGTCTCCATGTTGGAGCATCTGAAAAAGTGTCATGGGTGATCTGTTAATCAAGTGCTATTCGCACACTTCTATTTTGGAAAGATAACTATGTACGTGAGGGAATATTGGGTGTGGACCGTTCTATATAAGGAGTTTAGAGTTATAGAGAAACTTTTCTCACATTGTGAAAAAGAGGTCACCTGCCACCTAAAAAGTGGCACCCCCCCCTTCCCCCCTGCTCTCGCTCTCTCACTAAAGCTCCCAAGAGGGCTTTCGCTGCATTACCCGACTATGGGTTCCAACATTATGTTTGTTTTTGGATAGTCCACCCCTTGTGGGTGGCGGGTCCTCTATGGAATTAGGAAGATTCTTGGTGGTGGAAAGAGAATGACAATTTGTAGTTGCTTAAGATAAAATATTTTTAGATAGAGTTGGTTAAGGAGAATCTTTTTCCAAAGAGGGAATGATACATATTAATCTCGGATTTGGCTCACTTCTATTTTGCAAAGATAACCTACCACGGAATGGAATAATGGGTGCGAGCCCATTCATGTAAAGAGTTTTGAGAGAGAAGATCTTTTTCACAATTTAAGTAAAGGACATGTGTCTCCTAAATGGAGGCATGTGACCTTGTGGTCCATGCGCATGGTAGGGGTGTGCTGGGTGCATCCACGCACAAATGTGAGAACCAGTGGGAGAGTTCTGATGCAATGGAAACAAAAAAAATGCATACAAAAAAATGGCACGTGGGTGCTCCTTTTTCTAAAGTTGAGAGATTGGTGCCATAACTTCAAGTCTACCTCTTTTGATTACTATAACCTCGACGATTGTTTTCACAATGCAAATTCCCCAGCCTTGATGGAGATGGTTTGAGAGATCTCACTGAATTGCCTGGTTTTGGTGTGGAACTTGTTCTAGGTTTCTAAAGAGAGCAACAAGGGAAGAGAGAGAGTGGTGCTCACTTGCGAGCTTTAGAGAGAGATTCAAGAGAGGGGCGTGCCTCCTTGTCGGAGGTATGTGACCTCTTTTCACTTGGAAAAGTAGATTTTCTTTCTCTTTCTCGAAACTCTTATATAGAACCCACACCCATATATCTCTGATGTGTGGTTTCTTTCCAAAATAGAAGTATCGTTCCATCTTTTGATAAGGTCTTTGTTAACCAATTCTATCCACAACATTTCATCCCATCCAACTAGGATTTATTGTTCTCTATCTTTACCTCTAAGCAATTTCTTAATACCCTAGCGGTCCTTCCACTCACTTGGATGAAGCATCCAATAACCAATCTGCTACCTTTCCACATTGGATGCACATAAAGATGTCAGATCCTCATCATCAACCGGCGATTCATGACACAATGAGGGAAATGTGCTGTAAGAACTTAGGGAGCAGCACATCTCTGTAGACAGAACTACCGTAAGTTTTCATCAAGCTATCATGTAACACCTTAAACATCTCTCTTGTCCATATCTACTCCAGTTTACCCTAGACACAATTGGACACATTGGATTAAGCATCTGTACTAATCCCTCTTGAGCTCTCTATGCTCAAGAGATTATTCTAGACCTTTATGCCCATCCACTTGATTCATCCATCAAAGTGCTGTTAGCATGCGAGCTAAGAAGTTGATTTACAGATAGTACTTTGTTTTATAATATAGCTTTTCTAAAAGCATTTTGCAAAAGAACACCCTTGTTAAAACCTTTATATTGATGTGCATCTGATGAATGTCATTGTTTGCAATGGTTTTTAGGACACCAATTGTATTTTGATGCCATGGTCTTCCCCTAGCCCTACTATAATTCCGCTTTGACCTAACTGATTTCCTACATGTGCTCTTGTCTATCTGAATCAAACATGACATGAGGATGACACACTAAAATAATGATGTTAGCCTCCACTTCCTAATATAGTCTCAGGTTCTTGAGGGCATTTAGGGTCATTTGGTGCCGGTGCCCGTTTATTCTTGCATGGTGTAATATGGGACCTGGATCATCCTGTACACCTCTTTATGTAGAGTAATGGCGGTCTCGCTAAGTGAGTCATGCCATAGTATAAATTATACAAAATATTAGGATCTAGTACTTGCCTTTGCTCGATACTCAACTTTTGCTAAAGAATGGGCTACAACACTTTGTTTCTTACTTTTCTAGGTGACTAAATTACCACCAACCATCATAAAGTGGCCCGGCTCGATCTGCATCACAAAACCTTTTATATCAAGGTAACCCGCGACTGGTATAAAGTAGTTCTTTACTTGGAGCTAATTTTGAATATCGTAAAATGCAATAAACGACCTCTAGGTGATGAGAGCATGTTGCGTGCATAAACTTACTCACCATGCATATGGCATATGCTCTATCTAGCTGTGACAATCAACTGGGTAAATATACCAACCATTCTCTGATATACACCAAGGTTACTCAAAGGCTCTGACGGTTGATCATACAACTTTTGATTAACCTAACCCTATGGGAGATACTGCTAGTTTGGCTCTGAGCGTTCCTGTGTCATTGAGGAGATCAGGAGTATACTTCCTTTGAGATAGAAAATTCCTTGTCTAGACCATGCCACCTTTATTCATGGAAGCAAGGTTTCAAAAAACGCTAGGCGGCCTGCCTAGTGCCCAGCACCTAGGCGGGCGCTCTGCGGTGCAAATTCTTAGTTTTTTTTTATATATTTGCTATCCAAATGCGCATATATGCATATATTTGTGTCCAACTCTCATATTCTCCATATTCCATATCCATAAAATAAACCATAATAACATCCAAGTCTCCAACTCTCCAAGTCATCAACAAACTGACTTCCAAAACTATAAAAAAACCTGTAAACCACACAACAAAATAGTCCAAAAAGGCAAATAAATTACAAACCACATAACTAAATAAAAATCGTTCAAACTCCAAATGTTGAAAGCCCAAACCAAGATGGTGCAATAAAGTATTAAAGTTAGTTCAAAAGAATAGGGAAGACAATCAAGACATCAATAAGAATCAGAATCATCATCTTCATTGCTTTCAAAAGAAGAGAAAAGACCAGTAGAAGAAGTTGCTCGAGTGGCCGTACTAGGATCAGAAGCTTGCCCCGAAGCCTCCTTGACCATTTCCCATGTCAAACCCTCCCCAGGGAAGACCCAAAAGCCCTCTTGGTCTTAGAGCTCTGAGTACCAACCATGGCTACCTCTTCTTCCCCCTCTTCATCATCCTCTTCTTCAGTTTCAATATTATCATAAAAAATATGAACCCCTAACTTTAATTCTGCTATATCTTTTTTTACTCTTTTCAAATGTACTCCAAAATTTCTTTCTTTATAAGATCTGGGACTTTCTTACATGGGGCGACATCACCTCTAATATCGGCAAGATGTTTTTTAAATCTATTTATTCCGGCATTAGAAACATGTCCACATAAATTGAACATAATTTTATTTCTATCATTCTTATTTAGGTTAACACAATATTTCCATCCCGGATCTCCACCCCTAGTAGATCCCGCAGAAGACATCTCGAATTGAAAAAATAAATCTCAAATAAAGATTACAGACTGATCTTTTCTACCCAATCTCTGATCTTCGATGTTGGTTATCTCAATCGAGCTACGAATCAACTTAAAAGTCTTCTAATACCACCAATAGCACCCTAAAAATAATTTCAATAAGAAAAACAAACTTTTTCAATCAACAAGAAGTACTGTCGATTCTCAGCAATTGCTTTAGATTCTCATAAATAAGTTTAAGATTGAGGGTTTCTTGTTTTTTTTCAGTTTGGGGTTGAAAAATAAACCCCTAAACTTATTTTATACATACTTGGGGGTCAAAATGACCCCTTTTGCCCTTTTGGGCGCAGTTTAAAAAAAAAAAATCGTAAACTGTGCTGAGTGCCCGCCCAGGTACAGCCGCCTGTGTTGGGGCGCCCAGGTCAAGGCATGCAGAAAGTTTTTTTGGGGCACCTAAGAGCCGGGCGGTCTGTTTTTTAAAACATTGCATGGAAGTATTTCAATGGTCTAAGATCCTTGATGGCAAAAACACTCCCTAAGAAATCTTTAGCTCTTTGAATTTAGTGTTATTCCTTTAAGCACAATATTATCCACATAGACAATCAATACGATGTTAGAATAAAAATCTCTTTTAGCAGATACAGACTTATTAGAAGCACTTCTTTGAAACCTAATTTGGAATACTGCCCTATTGAATTTTTTGAACCAAGCCCGAGGTGATTGTTTTAGTCCATGTATAGCATTCCTTAAATTGCTAACCTTCCCTTTCTCCCCTGAGGACAAAAACCCAATGGTAATGTAATATACACCTCCTCTTGCAGATCTCCATGGAAAAAGACATTCTTCAAGTCTATTGGTGGTGTAGCAATTTTCATACCACATGTCCTTATGGCGATCAATTATATCCCAAGTTTGTTGCTTCTTTAAGGCAATCATTTCCATGATCATGACCACTTTCCATTGTAGATGAGCCGTGTTCCATTCAGTGTTTTAAAATGCGGCCCTGATGCGGTGGGGGGCCGATGCGGCGATGCGGCCTGGATGCGGGTGCATCGCAATGATGCGGTCAATAAATGTAAAAAAAATTCTAAAATTTTTTAAAAAATAAGTTAATGCATAGAAAAAAATATGAACGTGATATATGTGATAGTAGGTATTTTAGTTTAATGATTAACTTCAAAACTATTAGTTGTAGGAGATTTTGTATCCAGTTATCCACCCATATAAGTATTTCCACAAAGCAAGCATATTACACAATTTCTATCTTTGGGATTTTTTAGTTTAGCATATTTTCAAGCCGGGTCCTTATTACTAGAAGATTGGGAAGAAGACATTGCCCTAAAAATATGTATGATAGTAATATTATACAAGAAGGAAAAATAATTTACCGACTCTGTGAAGTACTGCTCGATTTCTTTACGACCTCTGAAACCCTTGATTTTTTATCACAAATTCACCCTAACATCTCCAAATCAACAATCAAAGCATCCAATGAATATCCAAGTATCAAACAATTGCCAAATCGAAGATTTCAATGAAAAAAAAATTCCGCCTAAATTTTTTTTTACCTCGATTTGATGCAAAAAAAAGCCACAAAAGTGGCTGAAAATCTTCGTTTAGGGCCCCTAATACCCCCCCGAACAGTTTCCCTAACATTTGGATGGTCAAAAAGACCATTTTGCCCCTCCTTGAGGGGCAGAACAGAAAAAAAAATTCGGTGGATACTGTAGCTGTGGGATGCGGCCTATGTGGGATGCGGCTACGATACGTCCTGATGCGGCGCATATGCGGCCGCATCTGTCAAAAGCGCATATGCATCTGTTTCTGATGCGGATGCAAGCGCATCCCGCATGATGCGGCCGCATATGCGGTGATGCGGCTGCATTTTAAAACACTGGTTCCATTATAGATGAGCCAATGTATCTATGAACCTTGAGAGCAACCAATTAGTTTTGTAAATCTTTGATATCCTGATCTCTTGGAGTGCATACATTGGGCTGTATGGCTGAAGTTTCCTCCTCCTCAATCCGTACTATATTGGCACTTGCACTCCTTCACTTCGGTCTCAAGCATGGATGCAAGTCGTGACAATGCTATTGGCTGTGTTTCCTCTTCGAACATTGGGAATGTTTTAGGTTCTTCTTTTCTACGGGGGAAAGTGGGGCTCGATTTGGTCCTTCCGTAAACTTGACGCTATTGCTGATTTGTTCAGGGTGGATGCTTGAGTATTGTCCCCCTGCAGTGGCCTTTCTGCTGGCCTTCTCCGCCTCATAATTATAGATTGATTTGAGAGAGTGCAATTTGTCCTTCTCTAGAACCTGTACTTTCTGAAGTTCAAAGTCAGGATGTAGGCAGTAGGCCTGCTAAGAACTCAAAGATCGTTCATTTCTCGGTCTGCTTTTTAATGTCATCAACGGTGGGATTAATAAGTGGATAGTGGTCTAGTTTTTTCCACTTGGTGTCCTAAAATACTCTTCCACAACCATTTTCCCTTGTTGCAAATTCATTATTTCACGATGCAACTGGTAAATCCTAGGTATATCAACTTGTGAGTATGTTTTCGCTACTTCCTTCCATATATCCTTTGCAATTTCAAGGAACAACAATCCGTTGCTAATACTTGGCTGCTTGGAATGAAGAAGCCATGCCATTACAATCAGTTTCTCACTTTCTCATCCATCATGGTCTGGATCATCTACAGGAGGCTCTTTCACCTTCCCGGTGATGTAACCCAAATTCCTCGGCTTCCTATGGACATTTTGGTGGATTTGGATCATTCTAAGTAGTGATCATCAACCATGGTTGGTCAGGTTGACTTTTTCCCAATGAAATAATGTGCTTGATTTCTGACTTTTTTTCCTCTCTTTCTAATTCAGAAGCCTCAGTCTTTTCTAAAGGTACTGATTCCGTAATTCTCAAAGCTTGAAAATTGGACCCTTCTTTTGGTTTGTGTGCGCAAGAAGGATATGGAATATATTTGGTTTGATTTTGTGTGGGGTAAAAAAAAAGAGAGAATAAGACCAGGGGTTTCCTTTTTTCCTGGAAAGAAAGAGAATTTGGGATGAACTTACTTGTTGGTAAAACAACATGATTATATTGCTGGAAAAATATGGGGTTGGTGATACTCCACAGCTTCAACCCCAGCAGGAAGGAAAATGTCAATTCCAGGGTTGTTCAAAAACAACGAACATCCTACGGTTTCAATCCTTGCTCTAATACTCTGTTAAGTTTGAGGAAGAAGAGAGAGAAAGAACATTCAAACACAACGATTGGGTAAAAATATGGATGTCTATCTCATTGTTTAGATCATGTGGCAATGTGCCCTATATATACACATGTATCTACCATGGGGTTCACGATCCATGTCTGCATGCACATAGGTCACAGCTATTAAAGAGTCCAAATATCGTAGGATATTATACAAAGGATCGTAGTCAACTTTGGTATAGTTTGGGTTTCCAAAAAAGTGAGGATTCTTGGTCGATGTGCCTTATCATCACATGCTCCAGCATGGGAGGTTCAACGGGGAGCCATAATATTCACTACAAAACATTTACTATGTTCTTTGTGAAATTTTAAGCATTGACATCATATGCTTTTATTTTCAGGTGCATCCATGTGGGCAATATCGCAAAAATACAGTTGTTGGAATTTTGGAGGCTGAACGTGACATAGCGCCTTTGTTTCGTATCCATTCAAACTGCGTGCAGTTGCATAACAGAGTGATACTTTTCAAAAATGATTTTGAAGTGAAATTATCTCCTCTTTTAGAAATTCAATTACCACTTCTAATTTGTTGATTCTGATGGTATATGTATTTTTTATTCTATTTCCTCCTTAACTTGTTTCAACAGCAGTGCACAGATTAGATCGCTTGGTCTCAGGACTCTTAATTTTGGCCAGGTCTGCGGCTGCAGCAGACCGCTTTAGGAAGCAGGTGACATACTCAGTATCGTTTTGGGGTGTGGCATGATGACTTTCTTTTCTCTTTTCCCCCTTCAAATGATGAATGTTCCTTTTGCAGTGTCATTTGTTATTATAGTTGTTGGAAGTTTGAAAACTCATACTTGCAAACTGCAATGTTTTTTGCATCTTATGTGTGTGAAAGGACACACAATCTTTCTTTTGATTTTGACTAACAAAAATGAAAAATCATGACGTTGTGCCATTTGTAATGCCTATAAAAATTAATACGCCTCATTCTTGACAGTTGATGCTGTCATTTTCTTGTTAATATTTGAAACATAATATGAGTTCAGTACATGCAACAGTAAAAGCTCTGAGCTTACAAATTTAGAAGCCCTCATATTATCTGTTCATGGTTTATTCTCATCAAGTGTCCTAGGTGATTTTCTAGATGCATCTCTATAGCGGGGCCCATGGATTTTTTTTCTCCAATTTGCTGCGAAAATTTTATGGCATTTCTATTACATTTGCAATTGGTCATAGTTAGACTGTGCAGGATTTTTCTGAATATATTGGCTGCATTATGTATGAATCTATGTCTTGATTTTTAGTATCTTAGGCTAATGGTGTGATCTTAATTTAATGCTTTTGAACCTTCTAATTACTCCATGTCTTGTGACTTAAGGTTCACTTGATCAGTTTATGTTTGCTTATTTTCTTCTGTAAATCAATTTTTCATCAGTACTATGGGAATCAACAAATTACCTTCCACTCGAAATGACTAAACCTTGCTGCAATTTGTTACAGATAGAGGCTGGGAAGGTGAAGAAAGAGTATATTGCTAAGGTTCTAGGTGTTTTCCCCGAGGAGGAGGTATGTGATTGATTGTTTTACGGTACTTTGGGTGATTTTGCCTTTTGCTCTTTTTGCATCCTTGCACTTGGCTGTTGCTGGAATGCATTTTCTGTCTCTCTGCAATATTTTCCTTTATCATTTTTAATTTTTTTTGAATTACAGTTTAAAAAAAAAAAGATAAGAGCCTTTGCCTATTACAAAAGATCACAGAAGTATGGATAATGTCTCATAGTGAAGGAATATAACATTAGAACTCAAAATAATGCCATTATACCATTGAGGTCCCTTAATAAATTTGAGGAAAAAATGGGAGCCCTTTTTCTTGCTGGTCTTGAATGGAATCCCTTTCCGTTATCTGGGGCTCATGGAAAACCTTCTTCCAAGGGTCCAGGTTAAGTTTACCCAGTTAGGGCTCTTGCCTCTCCTATTGCAGAACTAGAGACTACCATTCTAGTTTAAGAAGAATTCACTCTCTCCCTCATTATATTCTTCAAATGCAGAAGGCTGACAACTGCCTGGGAGGTCCCGAATACCTCAATCGCTGGGCCTTTCTGGTAAAGTGCTATCTGATAATTGGACAACTGGGACGGTACCTCCTGAATACAAATTTTCAGGGACAATTTACAAACAGTTTAGTTTCATGGGATTTCATCCGAGACAAGGAATTGCAGCTTTTCTTGGCGCTTAATAAGAAAAAGGAAGAGATGAGCCCTAGCAATTATCAGTAACAATTATCAGTTGTAAGCCCATTATGTTGTTTGCATTAGAAAATGCATTTGAGAAAATACTCCTTACAATTTTATTTTTTATTGGTTTTAATGACTTTTAACTGCCTAAAGCTTTTTCAGATCATTAATCAATTTTCTATCCTTCTGAGTTAGAATCTTGGGAAACATTTTGGAGCTGGTTTATTTTTTGCTTGTCTTGTTGCATATTACTGCGTCATTGAATAATCCGAAGAATATTTTTCCAGCAAGTTGTTGATGCCAACGTAGATTATGATGCACGAGAAGGGAAGAGTTCAGTAGAGGTAACTTCTTTCATTTCTGGTTTGCTAGTTCTCTTCATGTGAGTGCAATGCCCAGGCATGTTATTCTGCTTTCTGTGACCTGTAAAACACATTGCGCCTTTTGTTTGCAATTTGTGTGAGTTTATGGTATTGAGCAAGGATGTTATGGGTGCTGAAAAAAAAAATCTACATAGCCAAATAAAGGAAGAAAATATATCATTATGGCCCTGAAATTATGGTCAGCGATAGAGAGTGGGTGCCTCTTCCCATGACTGTTCATCATTGGACTGTGATGACCCAGTGGATTGTGGTTTTTTTATACTCCAATAAAATTATAGCAACTTTCCCTATGTTAAATATTCTTTTCTGTGGCTCTAAGCTCCTTCAGTTAACTTTGCTCTACCTTCTGACCTCTGAGTCAAACATTGTTTGTCACCAGGTTCTTAAGAAATGCTTGAAACTAAATTATAAAATTTATTGTTGTCACTCTAGGCAAGATATAATAGTAAGCAACATTTGTTATACCCTTTTAATTTATAAAATTTGTTGTTGTGCTTCGAGGCAATATATAATACTGAGCAACTTTTGTTATGCCTTTTTATTTTTCCAGCTGTGGGATGGTGATCATTGTAATAGAACACGGAAGGGTAAGGTCGCATCAACAAGATTTACACGGATTAGCACCAATGGCATTCAAAGTATTGTCAAATGTGAACCCCTTACGGGGCGGACACATCAGGTGAGAGGATGTCTGCTTATTGTTGCACGAAAATTGTTCACAGCCAAAAATATTGAAAAATGTTAAAAGGAAAGCAATGTATAATGGATGTTTTTTGAACTGGAAGGTGGATGTACATATGGACCTAGGGAATGTAAATCAGGGGTTCTCAACTATAATCTGGGATTGTTTATGGGGTAGTAAAGATATTTTGTTAAATTTTGTGGATCTCAAGATTGCAGTTTAAAATTTCAGTATGTGGTTAGAACTGCTATGAGACTGGCAGCAAATATCTAAATGCTGCCTGAAGTTTTGCCAATATTGATTTCCATTTGATTTTCAGATCTAATTTGGAATAAGTTAGTTATTCTATCTTTTATTTGGGAAAAGGCTAAAATGATGATGATGATGATGATCTTTTATTTGGTTAGAAAACCAGAAGAAGTTACCTGGTTTGGGATTGACTTTTCCTGGTACTTGGTTTACAGAACACAGGTTTTGGACATTATGGATTTTCCACCAAAAATTCATCTTGACGTTGACATTTGAAACAACATAAAATGGTCTTTAATAATTTCAATTCTTTATTCATTGCTGAATATGGCAAAATAGAATGCTTAACATGGACCACTGCTTTAGATCAACATGCACCATAAGTTTGCCAGATATTTTGTTAGAGAAAGACCTTAAACTATTTGATTGTGACGTAAGAAATATGTCACTGCAAGCTGCAGAACACTTTTAGATGGGCTCATTTTGTTATTTTTATTTTATTTAGTGATCCTGGCTTTAGCCACCTTCGTGGTGGCAGAAGATTGCTCCCCTCTTGCGGGCAGCATTTTTTGTAACTTGTACATCTCTTTTACTTTATACAACTTGGTTAACATTTAAAAAAAAAAGATGGCCTCTTATGGATGGAATACGAAAGTTTCAAACCTGGATCACAAATTTGCATTCTTCCTCTTTTCTTTTGTAACTGCCGTTACACTTATCTATAGTGGCAGTATATTCTGATTAATGCGCTATTGACTTTATGCTTATACCACTGAGCTATGGGTTTTGGACTTTCAGATTCGTGTCCACCTGCAATACTTGGGTTATCCAATAGGCAACGATGCTCTCTATCTTTCTGAAACTGTTTCTCTTCGATCTGCTAAGAGAACATGTGCAGATAGAGCCACCACCACAACTGTAACCGAGGATTGTGAAGCATCCGGTTCAGTTGAGGATCATCAAATCTCAGAGAAACTTACTGAGTCAGGGGAAATGCATCCAAAAGAAGACTTCAGGATTGATCCAATGTGCACAAACTGTCCTAATTTGGCTCCTCATGGGTAAGGAATATGTGGTATTAAGAACTCCGCAGGTGTTCAGAAGTTATGGATAGTCCTCTCCAAAAATGATGGCACTTTCCATTAAAGTTTCAATGGATGAATGACCTTGAGCTTTCTTTTCCCCCTCTTTTAGGAGTAGCGAAGATGGTCTAGTTTTCTTTGCTTTTCCCCTGAAATATCTGAATTGCTGCAGTACCTAACCCTCTTGAATTTTTTTGTAAAATGTCATGTTGCTTGATAATGGCGAGTGGTGACTATTATTTTGAGAGTCTGCCTATTTCAGTCTCCCTTTGCTCAGAGGTTGAGCAGTAATGCACAGATAGCAGCTTTTTAGTTTCTCTGGTTTCAGAGTTATTTGGCTTTTTAAGTTTTATCTGGTTTCAGAGTTCTTTGAAAATGATGCTAAATTTTTTGTCGTATTTTGAATGGGTAGAGTCATTTTGGTTTCTCTTCAAAAATTTTGAGATACATTTTGCTGTTGTTTTCCTTTGTCATAGTTATGTATTTTATTTGCATCTCTTCTATATGTGCCGTTGCAGTTATGATGGACATGAAGAGGGGCTTTGGCTTCACTGTGTTCGGTACTCTGGACCCAATTGGACTTATGAATGCCCATATCCCACTTGGGCTTTTATAGAGTAATTTAGCATTCCGTTTTTGTGTGACTTAAATCCCCAATTCTCAGTTATGAATTTAATTATTTCCAGATATCTATAGATTCAAATACGAAAAGGGAATATGGATTATTATATTTTTGTTAATTTGAATGGACGGTCCTGGCTTGAATACGAAAAGGGAATATGTATTATTGTCGTTTTGTCTTGAATACGAAAAGGGAATATGCATTATTATCGTTTTGTTCATTTGTATGGATGATCCCGGTTTGAGAAGATAGTGAATGTAATATCAATGCCTTCCATTCAAAGTGGAATGGTATCATAAACTGAGATATTCTATTGGAAGAGAATTTTCTTGGTTAAGCTTGTTGAGTATAAGTGACTATACTTGTTGCTGTTTGTAAATAAGTTGCTTCTTCGTGGATGGCTCCTATGCATGGTGCAGTGCTCTATTGACCAGACCAGACCGGCTGGTTTGATTGGTACTTTGACCTGTCTGGTTTAAAGGTAAAATTGGGTTTGGTCGAAAACATAACCAAAATTTATGTTTGGCTAGTTTTATTTGGTTGAACCGTACGTTTGACCGGTTGAACTAGCAAAACAAAGTTGGACAATTTTTTTTTGTAATACAGTTTATATTTTGAATTAGTTTTTTTAAGAATTTAAAAAAAAATTAGTTTTTTAAGAAGATCAAATCCAAATAATTTCGATTTGATGAATTGGTGTGATTAGGCCAGACATGCCGGTTTGGTGGCTGATCAGGTTTTGGTAATGCTAGTATTATGTGGCGCTTTCTTTCGACAATCCTTCGTGCAAAATTTCAGAATAAGAATCAGCAAAAATCTTTGGTTGAGGCGGCCTTGTATATGGGAATACCTCATCAAATTTTGGGTTCCTTACCATGAATCTAATTCTTTTGTTCTTTTGGCGCTTATATTTTATGCATTTATGTTTTGAGCTGATCCATGAATCAATATTCCCTTTCCTATTTCTAGGGCATTGCGCTTTGTGTGATATGATCTGCAATTCTAAAAGGACATTTACACTTTTTCTTGAATTGTAGCGATAAATTGTGAAACTATAGGACTAATCTAAGTGGAAAAGAGAGCATTAGGAACAAATTGCTATCGCGAAGCCTCCATTATCTAAAGGCTAGGTCAAATAGTCTTTTTGTTTTCTTTTTTTTTTTTTGGGGGGATATGCAGTGGGGAATACCGCCTGGTAGTAATTTGGTATAAAGGGTGTTACCACCCCTGGGATTGGAAACCACAACCTAATAATAATTAGGTATAGGGGTGTGACCACCCAGCGCCTTTTTTGGGGGAAGTTGTATCTCTTGCTCATGTAGAGTTTGGTTTTTTGGGGTGGGAGGAATCATTATTTAGTTTGTTTGGTGGAAAGGGACCGGTGATATCTATGTTACTAATGTTAACCTTATCCAATATGTGGGTTCCTCTTTCCCTGTCTATCCACAATCGAATATACGCTCTCTTTCTCACACACATTGTCCTTACTTTTCACAAAGTGTCACCTATCTCATTCCTAAGAGCCAGATATCAATTTCATTCTCCTTTTGATTTGGGATTAGGATTTAGAGAATCACTTCCATAGACCTTTTATAAGTCCCACGCCGTGTTGTACAAATCTGTTTGGGCCGCTTCATGACATGTAGGCCGAAGTCAACTTGCCAACTCCCTCTCTTTCTCTCTACAAAGTCACCTCCATTCTTACCCAATCTACAGTACAAGTGGCACTGGACGGTGATTCTGATTCATCCTGACCAATGAATCTCAACCAATCCATTCTTTTATATTTGTTTTTTTACACCTTATATAAAGCCTTCCCGCAGGAGCATATCCATGATGTAAAACTTTTTCCTAAAAAGCGACATGTATATATGTGCTATACGTGCTTGAATAAGAATAATATCATATGATTGAAAAGGAGACCCTCCAATTTTTCTACAAGTTGGATCCAAGTGTTTAAGGACCTCAGATCAAAATTTCTTTTTCATAAAAAATTTAAACTGGACTGGAAAATCTTAAAATGGGAAAATCCTTAAAATTGGTTGTTTTACCTGAGGGAGAAGATGTACAGTGTGATACCCCTGCTGGAGCATGAGAACTTGTATGTATCTTTTTTTTATTTTTTTTTATAGTGATCAAGAATTAATTCCCTTATTCGTCCTTTTCCATGTTCGAATTCATCTCCACGGTCTGCCAACCTCCACAAAAGAAGCCTACGGATTCCATTCCTTTTCCTTTGGTGTTTTTGGCATTGCAAAAATTGACCAAAACACTCCTCATCGAACACTAAAATCCTACTTTTCTCGTCTTCTTCAGCGACCATTTGGTCATTTTTATTGACCCTCGCCATTAGCATCGATGCGCAAGCTCTCACAACGGAAAACTTCATGTTTTCTTGTTTCAAATGGAAACTGGAGATATAAAACAAGAGGAAAAAAAGAAAAAGATAAAAAAGAGGAGAGATGCAAAGAATTATACGAAAAGAAAGAAGGAAAAAAAAAAAAGAAAAAGAGGAAAGAGAGAGATACGGAAAAAGTAGAGAGAGGGAGAGAGAGAGAAAAATGGGAAGAGAAGAAGAAGAAGAGAGGTATAAATGGGATTTGGGTACGAGAGAAGCAGTGATGGTGCAGGATTTTTGGGTTCCCTTTTTATGGAATCAATGGCTGACGCATTGCTCACGATTTCATTTCTTTCGCTTTCCACTGACTCCTCTCTCTCTCTCTCTCCTCACGTGATTGACGACAAACATCACGCGCGCCGCTCACTTTTTCCGGCGAAAATCGCGTTCGCCGGCAAACAAAATCCCGCTATTTTCGGCCCTTACCTCTCTCCACTGTTCACTTTCCGGCAACCGAGTTGTCATTATCCGGCGGCAGAACGGGGTGAATTTGCCACTCCTACTTCTCTCTCTACAATCTCTACCCTCAACTCTCTTTCGGACATTATTTACCCAAAAACTCTCTCTTTATACTCTCTATCCTGCAATTAATAACCCCTTATTTCCCGCTAAATACTCAAGACACGTGTCATGATCTTCGAGGCCCAGGAGGCTGTATCGGACGGTACTGACGCATGCGCGCCCCTTGCAACCCCAAACGGTTGCTGAAGTCATCACTTAGCCCAACCGTCCGATGGTCCCTTCCAAGTCATCTTCTACCGTCCACGTGGAGTCACCATACGACACAAAAGTTAATGATCAACTTCGCGCTGGTGATGTGGCGTCGTACGGTCGAAGAATATCACGCTGATGCTGACGTTTCAGAAGGGAGGGGATCACTGCTTAGATCCCACGTGGCACCAACGTTCATGTACGGTGACGTGAGGGCTTCACACGTGCCAGTAACCGACTCATTGTAGCATGCGGTGTTTCCCAATCGGGCAAAAGAGGGAACAGATAAGCATGCTTTGGTGGTCCCTTCGAGACCCTCACGTGTCCGTTTCCCACACGAACCATTTTTTAGGGTTTTTCTCACGAAATTGTAACTCCTAAAATTTTTATGAAATATATTTTTTTTTATTGAATGTAATTATTGGAAAAGATTAGGGATCTTTATGCTTCGAATTTTTAAATATCGGCTAAAAATCGAATTTTATGAAAATGGCCTACAAATAAATAACAAAACATAGAGGATGAGGTTTTTATGATGGTATAAAAATCTATTTTCATATTTAATTATAAATATATATATTTAAAATAGTGTGGTTCAATAATACTCAAATTCTTGAAAATAGACGTATAAATAGTTCAATAATACTCAAATTCTTGAAAATAGACATAAATAATGGGAACATATAAAATGAAACCATTTACCTATACAAAGTGGTCACGTTCATCTTGACCGAAATTAATTGGTTGCAATTATTTCATTGATCAAGATCAAACTTTAAAAACAATTTTTCAAATTTTGTGACACATCCAAGCTATCAAATTTTATATCAAATGGTTGTAAAGAATTATGACTGCATTGTACAAATGGTAAACAGTCACATTGCATAGAATCCCTTAAATAATAGGTTACAAGATGCAGTGTGCACCTTACTTTACTTATGTAGAACGAGACTCCATAGCTTAGGTAAACATTTCCAAATATGGATTATTTATTGGAAATAGAATTTTCGACCTGTAATTTTTCTGCAATAATTGATAGGAAATCGTGTATCTTGAGAAATTTCGGCTTTGAGATACGTGATATATCGGCAATAATTTACCTAAAATTGTTTTTGGCCATAAACTAAAATTAACAATTTTAATAGCTCATACGCCGGAAAATCTTCTTTGTGATATTTTTTAAGATATTGCTGACTGGAAAATGCCTTTTTGTGGAACTTATTGATCTGAAATTTATTACCAACTAAACATAGAGATAACATTTCCGACAATAATTTGCCGAAAAGGCTGTCATTTCTACTGGAAAATAGGGTTTCTTTATAATTTCGTATCGGAAAGTGACTTTTTATGCAGTTTCCGGGATAAATTTCGCGGGAAAATTGAGACTAGAGAGAAAAAGCTAGGTTATTAGCATTGGAAAGTAAGCTTCAGGGTTGACAATAGAAAGGTCCTTTTTGGGGTAGAGTTATTTGCTGACCTCATGAGAGAGAAAGCACAACCCTTTCCTTTTTATTTTGTTTGTTGAATGTTAGAGAGAGAGAGAGAGCAGAAGGCAAAAACTAATGTACAAGTTTCCTTTTTTTTCGTTTGTTTGTGGAAATTTAGAGAGAGAAAGAGAAGCCAAAAACTAATATCGAAGTGCCCTTTTTTCTTATGTTTGTTGATTGTTAGAGAGAGAAAGCGGAAGCCAAAAACTAATGTCGAAGTAAAGGTTATATGGGGCAAACCCAATGAATAAATAAAAAGGAAAGAAACAAAAGAACCAACATCCATGAGCTTAGGAAATAGCATGGGCCTGCCCAATAAAGAAACAGAGGAGAGAAGAACCAATGAACCAGGCAGCCTTTTGCCAGTAAAATATATAGAGAGAGAGAACCCATGTAAAATAAAGCAGAGACAGTAAAGCAAACCCAATAAAGAAGAAACAGAGTATAGAGAGAGAAAGGAACCAAGAAACCATGTATAATAAAACTCATTTTTCTCTTTCCTCAAGTGTTTTTCTATACAGATAGCGGACAATTACATTTCTCCTTTGCACCGAGCGAAACAAAAACCAGAGAGTAAACAGCGAGTTAGATGCACGAAGCAAGAGAAAGAGAGCACCCAAGAGAGAGAGAGAAGCAAAAAAAAGAGACAAGGCAAGTGTCAAGACAGGGTTAGAGAGAGAGTGAAAGCAAGAGAGAGAGGGTCAAGCAAAATAGAGGAGACTCCTCTTCTGTTAGAGAGAGAAAGAAAACAAAAAAACAAGAGAGAGAAAAACTCTCGTGAGGTTCAGAGCCAGAGAGCACCAGCCTCTTTGAGAAGAGGCACCAAACTCCCATTGATATGAGAAGCCATGACTCTGTCCATTGGACCAATGAGCTTTCCCCCAATGAAAACAGCAGGGACGGCCTGAGAGCTCCCGAGAAGCCGAACCAGAGCCTTCTCCATTTCTTTACCTCTCGGATCTTCGTCGAGCTCATACACAGTAGGGTTAACGCCCATTCCACAGAAGAGCCTCTTAACGGCATGGCACATACAGCAACTGCTTATGCTGAAAATCACCACTGCGTTTTCAGCCGCAAGCCTCTCAACTCTCTCTAATGGGTCGGTTCCTGCGGTCCTTGGAGCCATGTAAGCACCCCAAGCTTCGGTCTGGTAGTGCATTCTAGCCACAAAAATCTAGAGAGAGAATAGGAAAACAGAGATGGGTACTGCCTGAAAGGGCGTGAAATGGATGGAAAACCAGTAGAAGGGGACAAGAGAGAGCGAATAGAGGCCGAGGGTTTTAGAGCGAGAAAGTGTGAATGCGGTGGTAAATGATGGGGGATTGGGGTGGTATTTATACATGGACTTGGGCCGTGGGGTTTTTCAATTTTTTAATATTTGGGGTTTTTGTTTTTATTGGGGTTTGAAACCTTGTTTGTTATGGTCGTCAGCGCATGCAGTGAGAGAGAGAGAGGTGGAGAGAGAGTGGTAGAGAGAGAAAGTGGGGATTATGCAGGGTCAGGCGCACACTTTTGGGGGTTACACGTAATAATATGGTAGAGAGAGAAAGTAGCTTGTTTTAGAAAGTTCCCGATGAGAGAGAAAGAGTAAAGAAAGAATATGCAGGTGCAAGGCGCAAACTTAACGGTCGCACGTAATCGTGTTGTATAGAGAGAGAGAGAGCGGTGTCTCTGAAGTGAGAGAAATAGTCGAAATGTGCAGAGGCAGAAGCAACTTTTGCGGCCACACGCGTAGTATTATTTTAGAGAGATAAAGAGAGGCAGCTCGTAACATGTTAGAGAGATAATAATTTGCAGGGGCAGGTCACTTTTAGAGCTAACACGTTGGAGGGAGAGAGAAAGTAGAATGAGGAGAGAGAACGGAACTTCTAGGGTATACACGTAAGAGAGAGAATGTAGAGAGAAAAAGGGTATTTTGGGAAGAAAAGTGGGCAGGCTTTTTCAGGAGGGAGTGTTGGTAGAGAGACGGCTGTCCCCGTCCTTGTTGTCGGCTCACGGCAAAAAAGTGGAGGAAATATTATCTCCTCATCGGAACTAGGTTGACACGCCCCACATGACCCTGTTCCCGGCTGCCGAAAAATTTCCCGGTGCCCGGAAAAGTTGTATAACGCCTTGGCTACTGGTCTACTAGTTTTCGGTCTACTTCCTATCCATTTTATTTGTGTTTTATGTGTAAATTTTTTTAAAGTGAGCCACTCACCGTTTCATGATCCCTTTCGTGAGAGAGAGTATATGTTTATTCATAAAAGCCACTATTATTTTATGAGAGTGTATATTTATCCAATGGGCATCTAGTGACATGGCCCTTTTAATCTTTATCCACAAACCTTTTTCCTCAACAAAAGATATAGATAGATACGTTATAAAAATCATATAAGCTTTTCTTTTGGTAACTAGTAAATGATTTATCATCATCGAGGTATCGGTAATTTTATTTTTAATTAATTGAAGTTGGATATACAAATTATGATATGCCATTCTACATTGTTGAACGTCTTCCCAACTAACTACTAAATTATCAAATTAGTAAAAATTTTAAGGCCCAAATTTCATTTGTATTTTTGGTGTCTCTGCCCACAACATGGATGGCACTAATTTGCAATGTTTTGCATTGCAAATTGAAAAACACTTGGGCAAGACTAGCCCCAAAAGTCCAAAAATTTTGTATAAATGTTAGAAATGCGTCATATCATACATATGCCTTTATGAGCACACGTATGCATTGGAGACGGGAAATTATATGTTAATGTAAATATCATACATGCATGCAAATTTCACACCTTATCCATGTTTGTATAGTGTTTTCAAAAAACTGTACATTGGCCCGGACTAGGCAACGGCTCAATCCCGAGAAAACCCTGGTTTGAATTAGACCATACTAAATTTAACAAAGAAGGATTCTTAATTTACTCGATCATCAGAAGAGAATTTTGGGGTTTTCTGGCCCAAAATTGCCGGCCTCTTGATATGGTTTGTTCGACACAGAAATGGCCCGACTTCGACGGCCGAGTTTTTAAACACTGTTTGCGCATGTGAACTATGATGGACTTATCCATGGGTAAACCATGCATGCATCTATGCTGTATTCCCCTCTTATCCATATGTATCATTAATTAGTCTTGCATCCATGCATGGTTTCCAATGCATCCACATGCATGAATGGTGCTAAATTTCAGATCTGTGCATCATCGAGCAATTTCTCTTGAATGATTGTGCACTAATTCACAAGCCCGTTAGGGACGTGAGGTGAGGTGCCGAGGATAAGTCACACGAGAGATATGAATCGCACGTATAGACGCGATAGTTTTGCACGTGGGAACATGGCGCCGTGATGGAGCTGTTTTTTTTTTTTAGGGTTCCGTGGTTGGCGTGCGAATGATAGGCGGAATTTAGAATGTCGGGGCTTCAACTCCCCATCTCGAGCCGTCCAATGCATGTGTCGCCTTTAAAATGTACGATACCTAATGCCCCTGCTTTCTAGTTAAATATCGGAAATAGTCCTAGATGAGTTCTCTTCGCCCCTGCCAAATAGAGAAATTCCTTGGAGCAACTTGGGTTTAAATTGGTCTACGCGGGTTTGGAAAAAGGTGGATTTAAATTGAAACGCTGCGATTTGGACTAGAATGGGGGTGGCAACGGCTTGGGTTGGGTTGGGTTGGGTCTGAGTTGAGCCAGACCAGCATTCACAAGACCCTATACTTGGACCCGAAAATACAATGTGAGACCCAGATTCGACCCAAAATTAAAATATCTATGTACTTAATTATATTTAAATATATTTCATATCTCGATACCTAAAATATATTACCTGACATGGACCTGGAAAGTTATCCGGGTCCAAGATTTGGACCTAGACCCGATCCACTAGGTCTAATTTTTAGATCCATTCTTGGACCCTGATCGGGTCTACCCCTCATGTCTCGGGTCGGCCCTAGGTCTATTGCCACCTTTAAACCAAAAACCCAGGGGTTGGCCTAATACTCCCAATATATCAAGAAGGTCAATTCCTATTAGGTACTGATTGATTATATGACTAAACAAGCCATCTGGCCCCACTTTATTTTTTTAAAACTTTTTAAAAAATATATTTTTTTTTCCTAGTTCTCTCGACCAGATTACCGATCCACTGGTCAAGACTGGTTTTTTGGAATGGGGATCCGGCTCACCCATCAATGTTTTCAAAGATTGGGTTTGAGGAAGAAGGTAGCGGGATTTCCAAATTTTGGTTTTTTTAGCCGAAATTTCGGTTCCTATTGGTGGCATGACTGGATTTGAATAGGCTTGCCGAAATTTGGTTTGTGGCAGAAATTTCAGTCCGGATGCACTTAAATGGCGGCTATCTACAAGGATTTTTGAGAAATTTATTTCTTTGTAATTGCAAATAATTTCTTTGCTCAAAGAAGTTTGTAATTGCGAAAAATGGCTAAGTTTTAGGTAACGTTGGTTGCGTTTGAGGTAATTAAGTGGCAAAAGGCGGGCTAATTAATTTAGATTTAAGGCCACTCTTCACAGTAGTGGAATTTTATCTGTATTTAATAAGATGATGAGGTCACAAGCACTGCTCGTTTCGGTTAATGGGGCAAAGGCGGGCCAATTAATTGAGATTTAAGGCCACTCATTTTTTTCGGCTAGATATTTATTTTAGGGCCAATCCTTAAGGAAACCCTATTTCCATGTGAATTTATTATGTGAGATAAATATATTAAAATGATAAGATCGTGGGGTAAGAATTAGTCGATATTTACCCGTTTCTATATTAATTTGGATATCTATTTATTGATTAGCCAGATGGGACAAGAGTTTCAATGGAGAGACCATGATCCTCAAAAGCCTTTGGTACTTTCTCTCCTTAATTTCTCCCATGTCAAACTTACAACTTTTCTACCAGTTGGACACTTGATGTTCCACTATTTCTCAGTTCCCAACTTTGGAGGATGATACAACATCCATCAAGAAAAATGGTATCAACACCATGGACAGTTCACAAGGTTCTAAAACTTTTGTAGTCTTCATAGACAATTTTATAAGCAAAAAGTTTATATAATGTTGAAACCTTCTATTGTAAAATTAAGGTTGGGCTTTGAAAATGCATAAGAAAAGGCTGTTTTGACGTTAGAAAACTATCCAATTGATCATCTAGATTGTAAGATGTAAGGCTATAGAAATTTTTTTTTTTTTCAAGTCCCAAAAATAGTACATCTAGTAACACATTATCTGGATCGTCTATTTTGAAGATTTTCATGCATTTATAGATATTTGAACTATTTTTGAAGTTTCAATATTATAATTGGAGATAAAAATAGATTCATAGGCCATCCTAAGAATTTTCAACACCAATATTACATCTTATGAAAAAATTTGCAGGTGCACCTCATTAAGTTAGCAACCTTGTGCAAACCACAACCATTTTTATAAACTCCAATATACTTGCAAATCGATTTTCTAAGTTGGTGAATGTTATATATGAATATTAAAAATCGAAATTAAGCAAAACACATCTAAAATTTTACTATTTAGCATTTTACCCTAGTGTAATTCAATAAAATTCGAAACCCATTTTGATTTGTCATTTGGTGGGCTATTTGAAATTTGATAAAAAAAAAAAACTATGGGTAAGTTGTTAAGCAGTTAAAATCTTGCGTTTAGCTTGATAAATTTCTGAAAAAAAAAGGACTATTAATTTTCCCTACTAACAAATGTTAGTAAATTTGCTATTAATATCTACACAATCATACATATTAAGTTTTAAATTTTAAAGGAAAGAAACCTTAGAATCACAAAGATAATCTCCTGCCTTTTCGTGGGATTTTTTTTCTAAGTTATTTGCTAAGGTTACAAATGAAATATGATAAAGGAAAATGCCATTTTATTGGCTTTTCATGTCGAAATGACGTCACATGCGCAGAGTTTGTTTAGCTTAACCTTCTTATCAAACATGGAAGTGCGGCATAAGCTGAAATTTGTAACTTCTTAAACTTCCAATTATCAAACATGCCTTTATGATAATCCTACAGGAGCATTACATCATCAACATAGTAAAATGTTCTCTTTAGTCTTAATTTCCAATGCTCCTTACTTTTTATCATTTTCTTGTAGTCAGCTTCAAGATCTCTTTTGTGACATAAATAAAGGGCAAGTATATATTTTTTGGTGCAAAATTACATATTATGATAAAATTTGGAGGTGCGCTTTAATTGGATTGTTTAAAGTTGCAACCTTATCGAAATCACACCCATAGTTTTACGGGCATGTTGATATATAAGAACACAACACTAGTGTATGGCACTTTTATAA